CTCGATTCTCCTTCTTCCTCCCCTTTCTACGGTTCATGCTCTGCTCATTTTCTTCATCAAATATGGATATAAAAGTTAGTTGTCAATCAAGTTTACTCATTTTGTTTCTTCAAAGCAAGGAGACAAATACACTGTTCTCCTCAAAGCTACTTTAACCATCAGCTTTTGGGTTGAAATCAATATCATTTTACTAAAAGAGCACTGAATTCTAAAGACCATTTGGTCTATAAAAACACCTCATGTCCATAGTTTTTCAAAGTTGGCTAAACTGAAGGATTATCTGAGTCTTTCAGGAATTTTGGTGGTGGTGCAGCGATTACTATCAAACTGAGTCAGATTTCATGGTGCATGTGCTTGTGTGTGTGTCCATCAACCCACTAGGGACTACTTACTATCTAATGTCGTTCAGTCAGTGTTTGCTTATGATTGTAGAAGAAAGAACATGACTTTGGTGTAAATCTTGACATGTTCAAGTTCAGCTAGCACATGTGAGTTTCTATTTTGTATCTCGTGGTCCTGGACTGGGGCAGGGTAGCTCACTTCCCGTAAGCTCTATAAACCCACCTTGGTGAGTTCATGTGCTGTGAGTTGTGTTCTAAAGGAGGTGGCTCCTCCCAAATCCGCCCCCATTCCATAGGTCAGCGATGGCTTGACCGCCCCTTGGGTGTGGTCTCTCCTCTTCATAGCAAGAATCGTGGTACATCAAAACGTTTTTATTTGAGACACAAAAATGCAAAATTGCTGAGATATCAAACATTTCCCGATCAGCTACGATACTGCCACTATGTACAAAAGATCTGATGATAAATGTGCACACATATAAAAATACAGTATGCATTACCTATGTACAGTACATGTGCAAAATGTATGGCATTCAAACATGATATGGAATTGATTTCAGGGGTGCAAACAGCAAATACAAAGGCATCATGGTTTTTTTTAAAAAACAACATAAAGGCAATACATGAATGGACCCCCGATTGCCATAATTTTTTGTTTATTAAACGAGTGCTTCAACAAGCAGGGCTCTGTAGATTGGTATCTTTCTCCTTTTTTTCATAAAGTGAGATGCTAAGACATAACGTGACAATGAAAATAAAGAAGAGAAACACCTACCACGTTGCATTTCTATCGCAAGCAAGAAAAGAAAAAAGGAAAAAACTTTGTATTACTACTGACTATGTATTATTCTTAAACCAACAAAACAACTCTATACTATTTTACATGAAAACAATAGAGAAATATCTACATCTTTGTGAAAACTATAACCTTAAATGGATAATACCTTTTTGGGACTGATTTTTGAGATCTCATTAGTCTCAAATTTTAAATAAAAAGTGCCTCCTTTTGGCAAATACTTGGCAATGCCTTTGGTTCCTTTAAAGCAAGTTTGCTTTCCTATTGGTTACTTGAGGTCAAGTACTTTTGGTAGATACTAAACCCTTTCCTAAATGCTCTTCCTACCAAATGAGCGAGATTCCTTACAGCATAATGTAGAGAGGTAATTGTTACGAGTTTCGGTGATTCTATAAACTTCGTTAAAGCTTTGTCTTAGTAGTTGGCATGAAGCTCTGTTAAACACTACAGCTGTGTTAATATCTCCAAGAACATGTTTTATTTGATTCCAGACAGCACCTTGAAGATCTGAGATTGCCATCTTGTCGTCACAAAATTGTGACGTTTTCCGATAAAGATTCACAGAGCAGTGTGTTGTGTGGAGGATAAGAGCTCTTCTGTAAACGTGCAGCTTTTTGAATTACAGGCCTTCAACGGAAAATTTCAGGTAGAAACTCTCGCAATGACGTGTTTCCTCAGATACCGTAAGAAAGGGTGGATGGGGAAGAAAGATGGACCTGCTTATTGCCATGCAGACGGAATCACTTTACAAATAGAAACGAAGCCCAGAAAGATTGCTCAATGAACAAGTTAGTTATTGAAGGTTTGAACCAGGAAAAAAAAATTACATCTTAAATATTTTCCAGTTTTGACTGAAATTACTTAAAAGATTAGCTGAAATGCAGTTAGGATGCTCTCCAAATATACATTTATGCACTTGTAAGCTATATTCCTTGATGAACCTGACCTTCCAGTTAATGGCCTTTGTTAATTTTGGGCTAATTTTGTGGCCTTCAGGGCAGTGGGACAATTTGTATGGGTATTCTCTGTTGCCAGTATTCAACATTGGTTTTTGCAGTAATGGACAGTGAAAAATGAGGAGTTGTTTGTGAATTTGGTTAAACTGACCTGTGTCGCTCTGCTGGTAGACAATGAATAGCTGTTCTCTTTAAATTGCTCTAAAAAGTCCCCAGCCAGGTGCTGGGCTGAGGCTGGCCGCCATGTGGGCCCACGGAAACAGCCGTACAATGTGGGCTTCTCCCAAGTATTTTCAACCCTGCCAAAGTGCTTTACCACTTCTCTAAGGCCAGGTCCATTGGAGGACAGTGAAGGGACTGTCCCATCACTTGAGGGGACAGATGTTTTGGCTGGTTTCAGCCTGGGAATTCTGAAGGGACTCTGAAGAAAGCTGTGCTGCCTGGAATGATCTGGGGTTGGGGTAGAGGAAGCCTGAGTCAGCTTTGGTGACAAAATGGGTAATGTGCTCCGGAGACATCTCTCAGCGTCCGCGGACTGCACGGTGCAGTGGCGCTATCTTAGTACCAAGACTTTGCCTTCGCCGCTGTTCCTGAACAGCACTTACAAGCCCAAAAGTGTCAGTTACATGGATCGCAGAACCATGCAGTTTTTAAAAGGGAAATTTAAATAAGATCTCTTTAGTATTACAAAAATATTCATATGCAACAAACACAAATAGTATCTAACCAAGAAATTCCATGAATTCAGAATACATCTATGTACAAATATGTGGCAGATACTATACAGTAGATTGCACATTTCAGGAAAAACACTAGAACGTGAACCACTAACACTTCCTAAAAGGTTTCTCAGTAGATGCTTTGCTGAAATGTACAAGATGACCACATACCTCTGGCCTTCCAAAGACTTTATAGAAGCTTTGGCATAGCTCTTTTTACTCATCCCACCAATAAGATGATCTGATACTTATATACAATAGAAAGGTAAGGTCGATACCACTGTGTTTCAAGAACACACAGGGAAAAAAGACTGGGAGTTAGTTATTTTCTTGGCAATATGATATTCTGCAGTAAGATATACAACAGTACCACTGCTAAACTACACACATGCATATTGAAAATTCAATGGGCTGTTTTGACCCGTGCTTTAGTGGCTGTAAAACTAACCTTAACAACAATCTTCAGTCAACACACCCTTCCCCACTGCACTTCCCATCACGGGCACCGAGTTAGGTCAGAGGGGCCGTTTCCAGAGCGCTGTCTTTGGTCATGTCACGCGTGTGTTCGTTCTAACCTGGAGCTACGCAGTGGAGAGGCTGGAGGGCAGCACTCGTGTCACAGGTGCCTGGCCGGCCACGCGAGCCAGGCCAGGAGGGCCAAGCGGAATGGTGCAAGTGGGATGGCTTATAGAGCTGAGAGCCAGAGACTCTTTGCCTTTTTAAAAGTGAAGTTCTGGTATATAAGGATTTGAACACATATGTGAAGTGGGCACTTTAGCAATTCATAGCCGAGAGAGCAGGCTGATGAGACGGCATCCCTTGCGCTGCACTGTGTATTTTTGGAGAGCAACCTTCCTGTGGCATGTCTCAAACCCTATTTTTAAAAGCAATAAAGGGACCCCAGGGCTGGAAAACTATCTATGTACACAACTCAGGGTTATGGAAATACAAAGTTACTCAACAAGAGTTAGCAGCACTAGGTGTTCAGTTGCCCCCTATGGTGCCACTGCCATTTGGCGCTGATGTCGTAAGCCATGCAAATCTGAAGGGAGCAGGTGCTCAGAGCCCACGTACGGACCTGATGAGCCCCGGACAGAAACCCTCAGCAAGAAACCCATGGCCACGCCCTCCCGTAAGAAAAGTACCTTCCCAAGGAAATAGCCCGGCCCTGGGGACAGGCCCCTGTCGAGGGAACTGACACGAGGATCGCGTCACATCTAGTGTGGTAAACTCTCGCTGGGCTTGGTCGGGTGGTGGCGTTCCGGTTAACAGAGTCACTGCACCCCGTGCGTTGGTTCACCAACTGCTAAACACAAACTACTGACCGCGGACTACACGGAGCACAGCGGCCTCTGCCTTGGCGCGCTCGGAAGCACATCAGCGCCTTCGGGTCGGGAAGCGCCAGTCAGCGCAGGGCTCCCCAGCGCGGATGCCAGAAAAGCTGACTTTTCTTACATGTAGTAAAATTTATTTTAAAAAAAATCTAAAATAAGATCAGTTCTTAGGCGAAGCGCAAACCCAGAAATGACTGACAAATTCTTTCCAAATACTGGGTCGGGCTGCCTCCCGCGTGTCGCTGTGGAACACTTGCCAATGGCGACCAGGGGAACGGGCCTGGTGCGAGGGTCTACAAGGGGGAGCTGGAGCACAACGTTAGCGTTTAATCAAAACCTCCACACTCTTTTGGTAGATTTCACGTTTTTGTTCAGTTATTTACATTTTGTCATATACCTGCCTAAAATGACTAGCTTGAAATAATCCTGTGATAGTTGGCATTTTAGAAAATTCTTAAGAAACTACCTAACAAATACGTAATAACTTGTTTTCCTATATTAAAAAAAAACTAATAAAACCTCCAGTTTTTCAATCTTAGGCTTGACAATATAGTGAGAGCTCAGGTAGGACGTCCAGTTACGAGCCTGTAAAACGGTAACCAGGGATTAGCGGCGGAAGACAGACGGCAGGGCTGGACCTGGTGGCCCACCACACACACGGCACAGTCCGACCCGTACTCGTCGTGGGAATGTCCCGGGTAGATGACAGACCTTTCTTACCTTCCGTTCTTCTGACTCACCAGCTCAGAAAGACATTTCATGCTAAAGCCTTTTCTTGGTTCTTTGAGATGGGTCTGGTTACCTGAAAGTTAGTCAGCAATTCTTTAAATACAGAAATAAATGTGGCTCAAGTATTCTAGAAATATTCGCGTCATTAAAAAAAGTAGGACCATTGGATACCCATTTCCTTACCCCAACGCAGGCTGTACAAATCACTATGTCAGAGTGTACATACAAGTGCTTAATATATACATTAAAATCAATCTAATCAACCCAGAGGGTTGCAAATTTTCAGTGTTATCAATACACCTGGACTTTTTACAGTGGATTGTTTATGACAGTATTTTGTAGACATCTTCTGGTTATGGTGCAAGATTTTCCATTTAAATTTAAATTTGGAGATATAAAGTTAAGATTCCAAAAATCACAAAATAAACTGCAACACAGAAAAATTACATAGGTTTCTGAATGGAACCAAAAGTCCCCAGCTGGAAGCTGTCACCAAACCGGCCAGCGCTGTCCCATGCCCCTGACCCCTGCTGTGTCGTGGCCTGGCTGAGGCCATCTCTAGGAAGTACTAAGTGCAGTGACCTCTCACCTCCCTCTCATCAGCCTTATTTTTGAGTGGAGCTGTCTGCCTTCTATTTAGGGTCTTAAAGTGACCACAAAGGTTTAAATGTGTTGATTACCAGAGAATGCTAGTGTCATTTTCCTGCACACATTACTTTTCTTTGTTTTTATCTAAAGGTACTTTTCATTCTTTACTGAAGTCTGGAGAAACAGGTGAGTCTTCTTTGTCTAGTGTGTTTTTCAGAAGGCCCTGTGCTAAATTCGATTGCAGAAATTCACTGTAGAATTTCATTGCTGAATGCGACGAAATGTTTCCGAACTTGGGTTCCAGGCTATGACCTTCTATCCATTCTTTCTGTGACAACATACTTTAATTGCAACGATGCAACTATGGATCTAGCTCTAAAGACTGACCTTTTAGAATCTTCTTCATGTTCTTATACCTCGTGAACTCTGAGACAAGAAATCTCTGACATTAGTCCCATGGCAAAGGTAGGTCTTGTGGGTCTAGAAAGTCAGCGGAGAACATACTTGGCGCGGTGGCGCTGAGAGGAGTGAGTCCTGAAGACGTGTTGGGCATGGTGATGTCTAACCACTCCATGTTGTCCAGGTTTGAGTCTGAAAGGTCCAGAGACAGACAGGGCGTACCCGCAGCAAACTGGGTCTCGGAAGTCTCCATGGGGGAGTGCGAGTGGTCCAGCACGCTCGAGTGACTCAGCAGATCATTCTGGAGATCCTCAATCAGCGAGAAGGGCTCTCTGTCTTCACTGCTGCTTGGTAGTGGAGCAATCTCATTGGCCGAAGGTAAAGTGCCATCCAGGAAAGCTTCTAGTTGGTTCTCTAAGCTGGCAGATAAGCTGCTCATAGGTTCTAAGGATATAGGTGGTGCCATTTGGACTTGGGGTGGTGGCCGGGACACCACTGTATTGACTGGCATTGTGGTGATGCTGGCTGTCACTGGTCTCATTTTGGAAATGGGAGAAGGCTCTTCTTTTATAGGGAGGGATATCTCTGTGCAAAATAATTGAAGTAATTAGTAACTTAAATTTACTACTATTTTAAAATTTTTATTAATTGTAAGGCCAGTTACTTTTTTTGTGATTCCTTCTACACACGTCCATCTTAAAGGTAGGAAGAGAATGCTATTGGCCAGGTACAAGCCTTGATAACCTTTAGGATGATGGATTATTTTAGTTAAATAGGTAAGCAAATAAGTTTATTACATTCTGATATGCTTTCAATTCTTTTTCAGTAAGACTAAGCATCAGAAAGTTATATCCTAGTAGATAAGAATCAATGACTTTAGCTTATTTTATCTTTGGGTCCGTATTCTCAGTCATTTAGAGCTTTAAGACAGGGCTCATACCTTATCCCATACCATGAATCCGCTACTATAGCAGCATGACACCCTTAAAGAGAATGTCAAAATACACAGCCTGAGTTTGTGCAGAGACATGAACTATATTCTTAGTATTATGAAAGATGTAATTACATTCTTTTTTTATCATTATAATTGGACTGTGTGCCTAATTTGGCCATATACCCTCTGTATGAAGTTGTGAAAAGATATGACACCATCTTATTTCATTTCTGTATTAAAGCTATCACATGGCTCCTTTGACCTTTAAGATGAGGTGGATTACCTGCTTATTTTTCTCTTTTTTGTGTTGTTTTCTGAGTGTATATGAAATCTTGAGGATTTGGTCAATGTGTTAATAAGCGGTAATTAGGTGTTATCCTTGCCAGATCAAGTAGCAGCAAATTAATGGACCATCTGCTATAGATACCAGTGTTTACTTAACTACATATTTGAATAAAGTATCTTTTTTACCTTTATGAGGATATGACTGGTTTCATTTATATGCAGATACACTAGGGAAAATAGATTTAATTAACAATAGCACTTAAAGCTCAATGATTAGAATGCATAAGTAGGTGAGAGATAGAACTTATGATTTGAATCTTATAAACAAATTGTCAAAGTATGCAATGTGTTTTTGGATGGTTTACGTTACTTTTCGTTATCTGTAGTCCTTTCTAGAATTGTTTTGAAAGCTTTAAGTGCAATTCAAGTAACTAGTCTTATAATCAACTATTTAAATCTTGGTTCTCATTATTACTGGTATTGGTACACAGTAAGATGAAATGATACACTTACTAGATACTTTGTTATAACACAAGTCATCCCTTTTAGAAAATAACTCAAAATTGTTTGGTAACTTTGTCACTTTTAATTTTCAAGTTTAGGCTGTAAAAATTATCTTTGCTGATCGTTTAAAAAGTCCAGCCTGGGCAATGTAGCAAGACCCCGTCTCTACATAAAAAATAAAAAAAACATTAGTCGAGTGTGGTGGTGCACGCCCATAGTTTCAGCTACTTGGGAGGCTGAAGCAAGAGGATTGCTTGAGCCCAGGAGACTGAGGTTGCAGTGACCTATGATCACGCCACTGCACTCCAGCCTGGGCAACAAAGCAAGACCTCGTCTCAAAAAAAGAAGCGTTTTTATCTTTACCAGGTTTAGCAAAAACATTTTTTTAAAATCTTAGGGTGTGGAATGTCTGTTTTTAAAATTTCTGTGGTTCCATAGCTATAACATGAGCTTAAATGATTTGGAAGGCCAGTACAGTTCTTAGCAAAAAATACTATTTGCATATGTAGAAGTATAGTCAAATATCTAGAATTCTCTATGTCAGACATTATGAACAAAACATCAACTTCGATACATCAAATAGTACCTGCTATGAATGGAGTAATTTTGATCACTATTTAAAAATTCAAATAAAACTCCTTTCATTGGGATTAAGTTAAGAATACTTTAAAATTTTCCTAAATAGTAGCTGGCTTTTTTAAAACACTGATTTTATACTTATTTCTAAAGATATGTAAGCTGAGGCAGAGATATCTTGACTTTTTTGTGATTCATGTCCATTTTTAAGATGATATATTGTAAATTAAAGATTTCATATTATATATAGAAAGTGCTTTAGCATTGCCTTTAAATTTTAATAAGGTCAGTGGAGTCCAAGCTAAGTAACTTGGTTGTCATAAAATTTACGCAGGATTGGAATGTTTTCATCTATTACAGTGACTGATAAACATGGGACAAGTTTTAAAGTTTTTCAACATGGAATTTAAATCTGGTTATACTTTGCTATTCAGAGATGGTCTTTTTCAGCAGGCATCTATCTATGGCCAAATCTAACATTATATTACGGTTTTAAGCTGAATCAATGGCTTTTCCTCCAACTTTACTTTCACAGTAAGTTGTTTTAATGGCCTGAATTTAACAGATTTTAGAACACTAAATTCAGTTAGAATTAACAGAATGTTTCTCGGTCTCTGAAGATAAAATATGAGCTCTAGTGTTCAGAGATGACTTCCTGTGGGGGTCTGACGTGACTCTGACTTACCTCCACTCTTAATGAGGATGTCAAAGAGGTCGTCCATCTGCTGACTGTGTGCACTGGAAATCTACAATCAAGGAGAACACAAATTAGCTTTCTTTTACACAAACCTGGAATTATTATACAATTGGGAGCACTAAGGGACTCTCTAGAGCATCTAGTTCTAATTTACCATTTGATAATTCTGGAAACAGAGGTCACCTGCGAAGTGGAGCCATTTACCCCAGGCGATACCACTGGTCAGATGACAGAGCAAGAGTGGGGCTGTACCCAGCTCAGCGGACTTCTACACTGCCCTTATTTTCTGTTACTGAATTGCATTTTGAGAGGCCTCTAATACTTTTAAGTGTCTTTATTCATTTGTGTTTAGAAACTGTATGTATAAAGGTGATCACACTATACTTTTCAGCTTTTTTGAGATTTATCTGACGTAAAGTAAGCTGCACTTGTGTAAAGTATATCATTCGATATGTTTTGCGGTATGTACTCACCCATGAAACCACCCACAAAATCAAGATAAGGAACATATGTGTCACCCTTAAAGTTTCCTCTTGCCCTTCTGTAATACTTTCCTCATCCCCAGGTAACCTGCTGATCTGCTTTCATTCACTCTAGATTTTTTATATAAATAGATTCATATAGTATATATTTTTTGGGGGGGATGGTGGCTTCTTTCACTCAAGGTAATTATTTTGAGATTTATCCATGTTGTAGTACATACCTTAGGAACAGTTCATTCCTTTTTATTCCATTGTATGGAAATATGAGTTTGTTTATTCATCCACTTTTTTATTTTTTATTTTTTTAAGAGACAGGGTTTTGCTCTGTCACCCAGGCTGGAGTGCAGTGGCACAACCATAGCTCACGGTAACTTCAAACTCCTATGCTCACGTGATCCTCTTGCCTCAGCCTCCCGAGTTGCTGGGACTACACAGGTGTGTGCCACCATGCTTGGCTAATTGTTTTTTTTTTTGAGGCAGGGTCTCATTTTGTCACTCAGGCTGGAGTGGAGTGCGGTGGCATGATCATAGCTCACTGCAGTCTCAAACTCCTGGGCTCAGATGATCCTTATGCTCTGTGTAGCTGGGACTACACGCGTATGCCACCATGCCCAGCTGGTTTTTTTTTCTTCCGCATAGACATGGGGTCTTGTTATGTTGCTCAGGCTGGTCTCAAACTCCTGGCCTCAAGCTATTCTCCTACCTTGGCCTCGCAAAGTGCTGGGATTATAGGTATGAGCCACCAAGCCGGCCCTTCATTTACTTGTTGATGGACATTTGGGTTTCTAGTTCTTGGCTATTAGAAAAAAAAGTTGCTGTGAACATTTGTGTACAAGTATTAATATGGACATGTTTTCTTTTCTCTTGGATAAGTTCCTACGAGTGGAATGACTGGATCTCGGGGTAGTTATATGTTTAACTTTTTAAGTAACAGCAAATTGTTTTCCAAAGTGATCTCACCATTTTACATTTCCACCAGCAGTACCCAGTACGAGATTCCTAGTTGTTTTACATTCTCACCAACACTTCATATTGTCAGTCTTTTTAATTTTAGATATTCTATTAGGTATGTAGTGGTATCGCATTGTGGTTTTAATTTGCATTCCCTTAGTGACTAATGATGTTGAGCATCTTTTCGTGTACTTATTTGCCATCTGTTTATCTTCTCTGGGGGAAATGTCTGTTCAAATCTTTTCACTACTGCCGATTTCTTATGCTTACTATTTGCATGGTGTAACTTTCCCCAACCTTTTACTTTCAACCTGTGTCTTTGTATTTAAAACATGCCTCTTGTAGATGCATGCATTAGTTATCTTTTGCTGTATTACAAGTTACTCTAAAATATAGTGGCTTAAAATTTGTGATGTCCCAGTTTCTGTGGGTCAGGAGTTTAGGAATGGTTTTGATGGGTGGCTCTGGCTTGGGGTCTTTCATGAGGTTACAGTCAAGGTGTTGGCTGGAGAATGCCCTTGTGAAGGTGGCTCATTCACACGACTGGCAAGCTGGTGCTGGCAGTTGACAGCAGGCCTCAGTTCCCCTCACATGAGCCTCTCCAGATGGCTGCTGGAGTGTCCACCTGGCGTGACAGCTGGCTCTCCCAGGGCGAGCAAACCAAGGGAGGGCAAGGCTGAAGGGGCGTACCCTCTATGACCTAGTCTCTGAAGTCACACACCATCCTGTCTGCCAGTTCTGTCTGTCAGAAGTGAGTCATTAAGCCCAACCCAGGGAGGATTGTCAAAGAATGTGCAGACGTATCTTAAAACTGCCACACTGCATATAGTTGAGCCTGGCTTTTTTTTTTAAATCAATTCTGATTTTTGAATTTTTTAAATCAATTTCTGCATTTTAATTGTTTATTTCACTAGTATGTATTGTAATTACCGACACGGTTAAATTTGGGTTTACCATTTTATTATTTTCTATTCATCCTTTTTTTTTTTTTTTTTTTTTGTTACCCTGTTCTTCTTTCTTGCCCTTAAAAAGATCGGATATTTTTGTATTCTAACAATTTTTCTTGTTTTTCTAAAAACTATACTTTGTTGTATTTTTTTAGTTGTTACTGTAGATATGCAGTACACGTCCTTAACTTTTCATAGGCTGATTCAACTTAATGTACCATTGCATAAAAAATAGAGATCCTGCAACCATATAGATCTATTTACTTCCTTCCTCCTTTACTAAGTATAGTAAGAATTATATTTACACATGTTATAAATCCCTCAAAATAGTGTTATCTTTGGTGATGAATTATCTCAATTTTCTTTATCTGAAAGTATCTTTAGTTCCCTTTCATTCTTAGAGGATATTTTTACTTGATACAGAATTCTGGGTTGACAATCCTTCCTACCTCCTCCTCCCTAAAAACTTTAAACATGTTGTTCTCTTTTTCAGTTTTTCCATAGTTCTGATGAGGAGCTGACATTAATGAAATAGGTGTTTGCCCTTTGTGTAATGTGTTGCTTTTGTCTTGATGCTTTCGAGATTTTTGTCTTTGATTCTGACGTTCAGTAATCTGACTGTGATGTGACTGAGCCTTCTATTGATCCAGCTGGGTGTTCATCGAACACCTCAAAGCTATGAATTTGTCTTTCATTATATTTGTGAAAATTTTGGCCATTATTTCTTCAAATATTTGTCCACCCATTCTTTTTCTCCTTCTGGGTAAGCTAGACTGTTTGATATTACATAACAGCGCTCTGAGGCTCTGTTCAGTTTTTAAAAAATATTTTTTCCCCCTCTACGTTATTCAGATTGGATAAGTTCCACTGATCTATCTTTAGGTTTGCTGACTTTATTTCTTCTGCCATCTCATTCTACCAAGTTCATCTGTAACTTTTCTTTTTCCCTTTCAGATATTGTTTTAGTTCTACAGAAGATTTCCATTTAGTTCTTTAAAAAAGTCATTTCTACATCTGTTTAGATCCCCTATCTTTTCATTTATTACAAACATATTTTCTTTTACATCATTGAGAACAGTTATAATAATTGCTTTAAAATCCTTGTCTGCAAATTCTAACATGTAGATCAGCTCAAGATTGGTCTCAGCTGATTGCCTTTTTCCTTTGACAACAGGTTACATTTTCCTGATTCTTTGTATATGTTGCATGTTATGAATGGATGTTATGGTTGTTAAATTGTGGAGACCATGGATTCTGTTATTTTTCTCAGATGAATGGTTTCTTTTGTTTTAGCAAGCTATTCACTTGGTTGGACTTTAACATCAAAATGTTTTTTGGGTAGAGGTTCCAATCTCACTTTGGATCTTCTGTCTTCAGCTGAGCTGCTATGAGCCTGTTCCACACCTTAGGGGTCAGCCAGTGATGTGGGACCCCCTCCTTTGAGTGTGGATTCCCCAGCAGAATGTGATTACTTCTATTTACTCTTCAGTGACCTCATGTAGTTGCCTTTTATACTATAACCAAGATTTACAGCTGTTATCTGTGGGAAGATTGAGCTGGTAGAGCCTACTTAGCCACTAGTGGAATTGGAAGTCTGAGTAAATACATTCAAAAGCCAAAAACCTCAGAATTCCTGGGGTTTGGTGCTCAATGGCACAGGAAGAGGTGCTACAGATAGCTACTCATCTGAATACCAAAAACCGATATAAAACTTGACTCCGTCAGTCTATAAACATGAACCTACAGACATTCAATACCAGGGATTCCAATCAGCTATCTTAGGTTAAGGTGGAAGATTTTTCTTTTTTGTTGTTGTGGTTGTTACATGAATCAAGTAAGCAGTACACGTTACCCTACACACAAGAACCAGGCTTGGAAGGGTGAGTGCTACCTTTTAATTTTCTTAAAAACCGCAGTTAAGCTCTTGGCAATTCATTTCACTTCTGCTTCTCTGTGAAGAGAATAGATGTCACTTCTGAAGGGACCTTGAGGGAGCACAGTTTAGTCCAGTACCATTAGTTTCAGTTCCCATTGCAGATGTTTAAACCTATTTCTGAAATTTGGCTTTTCCCTCACAGGTAAGGGCCCTTGCTGAGTCTGGAGCTAAAGGAACATTTTACAGCTAGAAAAGTTATCTTCCTTTGGCGCTAAGTGCATACAAAGAAGCAGGTATTCCTCAGAGAGGGCGTCCCCTGAGGGTGCCACACTGTCCCTGGCGCTGAGCAGCTCTGTAGATGCTCACTTGGGCAACCGCAGCATGACTGTGCGTGCTCCCTGGCTGAGGGGACCTGCTTCTTTGCTGGAAAAAGTGCTGAGCCCTCGGCCTCGTGTTCCTGAAGAGCAGCATGACCCACCGCACTGCAGGAGCACGAGGCCGAGGGCTCAGCACGGTAAGTGCCTTGCTTGAGGCCACATGGTCACCAGGTGGGCATATGTGTGGTGAAGCCAGGAGAACCTCAGGTCTGTTACTGACAGAGGCATTTGCTCAGCAGACAGGCAGGGTCACTTGCAGGGGCTGCCTGCGGGAGGAGGAGGGTGCTGAGGCCTGTAGAGAGATGGAGCAGGACACGGGGATTTGGGTGCTGGGCAGCCTTGAATGTCAGCCAGGTGGAAGAGTGTCAGTTTGCTGGCCTGACAAATGGTGGCTTTAGAAAAGAGGGACCTGTATGAAATATGTGCTCTGGTCACAATCACATCTATCCCTAACAGACTGGTCCCCTTGCCCCAAAGGAAAAGTTGAAAGACAAACCCTGAATAAGTGGTAGCTGCAGGTTACACTGCTGCTGGAAGTTGTTTGGGATTCTTCATAATGAATGAAGTTTTGATTTTGAATAGCCAGGTCAAGTACAAGGCTCCTAGCCATAATTTTTGTGTTCTTATTGAGGCAAGTCAGTCTTAGACCAGGGGTTTGAGGACGGCACATCAAATCTAAGCCTTACAAACTGTGACCACTGTCCTTGCTCACTCACCTCTGGAAGGGGGGCCTGTGCACTGCGCGTCTGCTTGATGGCCTCCTCGTAGCGGGGAGGGTCTTTCGTCTTGGTGACTGGGCTGCCAAACAGAGAGTGCTGGACGACAAATTGTTGAGGTGGAGGGGGCGAGCTAGGCTGTATCAAACAAAAGAGGAGCACGCGTTAGCTCATGGCAAGAAGCTTTGTCCCGCCCTGGCCAGACTCAGCTCTGCAGTTCTCCACACGGTAGCCAAAGCGCGGGGCTCACACGCAGATGCTCCAAAGCACCTGTGAGGCTGACAGCACTGAGGGCCACCTCCTGTGGGAGGGATCATCCTCACTGTCACAACAGCTAAGCTCCTCCCTAACAAGCCAGCACCACTGTATCTTCAACAATTTCATTCCGTCAGTATTGACGCCCAAAGCAGTAGGCTGAGGAATGGTTTCATACCCCAGTAAGCACTTTTGTTGCTACATGGTCATCACAGGGTTACCTTGCTGGGCGCGTTAGGTCCGTTTTGCAGGGATGGAAGTGGAGCATTTCTGGGTTGAAGGACACCGTTGGAGGTCTTGTTAATAAAGGGCTGCTGGACCGCGGGAGCAGCTTGTCTCTGATATGGAATAACCGTATTTGATGACGCCGAGTTTGTGAAAACCTGTAAGAAATATTTCTCCATCAATTTGTTCTTCTGCTCTTTCTAATAAAGAAAACCATGCTTTAGAGTGGGGGTCAGCAAACTTTCTCTGTAAAGGGCCACAGGAGTTTAAGGTTTGGTGGCGACCACTCACCTGTGTCACTGCAGCACGAATGTAGCCTTGGGCAGTATGCAAATAAGCAGGTGTGGCTGTGTGCAGAAAAATCTTCTCTACAAAAGCAGGCTTAGGTGGGATTTGGCCCACAGGCCATGGTGGCCTTCCCTCACTCCCGAGCCTACCTGGTCCCTTTACTCAGTACCTTGCCTTCGAGGGCAGTGCAGACAGCGCTTTGTGGGAGAACAGAGTTTGCTCTTTATACTTTTCCTCTTAAACGACGGCTGAATTTCTCATACTCCTCACTAGGGTGATCTCATCTCTCTCGCGCCTTTAATGGTCACGGTTAAGCCAGTAATCCCACCTCCACTTCCAACCTTGCTCCCAAGTGCCAAAGCCACATTTACGTCATCTTCCTGGACATCTCAAATTTAATACGTTCCAAACTGAACTTTCCCCTTTCCTCCCATTACCCCTAGCCTCTGAGGGAAAGTAATTCTTGGTTCTGTGTTTGTTTTTATGCTTAGGTAAGTGGAACCATCAGTCACCTCTGTGTTCTCCCCTCAGTACATGCACGTCTGGGAAATGCCTCTCTTCCCTGAGGTCCCGATACAAATATGGCCATACTGCTGACATTGTACCTGCATGTCACAGAGCTTGGTTTGCTCATAAAAATATTTAATGTACTTTATATCACTGATACTAAAAAAAAACTCTCCCTGATATTTTATTATAACGATTAAGTGCGAACAGTATATGTGTATGTACTCCAAACGATACCTCTCTGGGTGATGAGTTCTATAAATGTGCTCTTGTTTGAAGAAGATGAATTTCCTTTTATTTTGTAAAAAATTAGTTCCTTGAAACTAGAAGTAATGGTTTCTAATTCTAGTATTTTGAGATTTAGTGGAAAACCCCTCATTAATCCCCTCATATATTATTTTTCTCTTTCCTCCCCCAAAAAAACTGTCTTTACATTTGAACATTTACTAAGCTTACAACTACACTAAAGTAATATTTTGACTTTTCCCAAACTCAGTAACGCGTAATTAATTTCCTTCTCACCGCGTTTCTCCGGGATTCTGAAACAGCGCGGTGCCGACGAATGAGGCTGCTGCTGGCCTGAGAGGTGGCCGCCGCCTGTTCTCACGGCTGTTTCAGCCCAGACGGTTCACGCCGCCCTGAGGCAGATCATCAGGTACCTCAGGACCCAGCTTCTCTTATGTTGAAGATTAAAACTCTGGGATTAATACTTTTTAAGGCTAATAAGACCTGTTTCTGAGGCCTAAGACGTTTTGGCACAGAGATGTGTACACAGCTCCCCCTACTGGAGAAGAGGGAATTTTGGTGACTTTGGGGTGACTTAACACTGGGATTTTTTTGGGAGGAACCTGTGTGAGGACGCTGAGTCCTAGACCAACACTTTCATTGCAGAGATGAGGTAACCGAACTGAGAGGAAATAAGTGAACTTCCTCTGAGGCCAAACACCTCGGAAGTGGTGAGCGGGAACTGGTGAGACCTTCTGGCTCTTGATCTGCGAGATGGCAAACCCTTACAAATGTGTATCAAGCTCTTACTCAAGGATTGTAGAAGTATCTTTTTCATCTTCAAATATCATTTCCCAGGGAAGAGCACATTTTTTCCCCTACAATGTTTAATTTGAAAAGAAATTTATTTTAAAACCCAGTAAATTCAATATATGAGGACTGAAAAAAAAAAAACAACTTTTGAAACTTGAAAAAGCGGTTAGCAGTTCAAGCGAGCTATCCTTCGGTAGTAAAGAGCTCCTTCTCCGCCCCAAATGGCTGGATGATCTGCGGCCAAATGGCATCTAAGCTAACGCTCACTCTGTGGGAGACGTCACAGAGAAGGATAAACGAGCTTCCCGAGGACCAGGGTGGTCCTGGTCCGATGCTAACCACGAAGATGCTGGGTGGTTAGCATCAGCCACAGTGTCCCTCGTTAGCATTCACAGACCTTTCTGACTTGCGGAGGCTGGCTGAGAACGTGCTGGGTGAAGGTGTCTTGTTTCTGAGGTACGGCCGGGGCCAAGCCTGAGGACAAGGCAGCAGCGGGTATTTGTGCAGCAGTTGCTATCTGAGGCTGAGTCTGGATTCCTGCTTGTGGTGGAGTCTAGGAGGAGAATTTAAAAAAATCACTTGTCAGAAACAAAGAATCAAGAGTTTAGATGTGAACCAACTATTCACTTAGGGGTCGTATCTAAAGTGAAATAAGACAAAGTATGCAGACACACATTTCAATTCATCTGCACATAAATCTGAACCGTAGCAATTCTAACTAGAGAAACACCAGACCAGTTATTTTCATGCTCCTATTGTTTCTTAAGTAGCTAAGATTTTCATTTGAAAATTTTGAGAAAATAGGAAACTGAACTAAGAACCTATAGCAGCTCTACGCATAAGAAGTCAGGTATTGTTATACTTTTGATAGCAACAAAGATATCTATGAGACCTAACTGTCCAAATTCCTGTCCAAATTCCTTCCTTAAGCTGTATGTGCACTCCCTGGGGAGAGCCAGCAATGTGCCAGGGCACACGCAGGCCCAAGGCTAAAACACAGTTCTTGTTCCTACGACAGCAATGGAAGATTTGGACCAAAAAAAAAAAATTGTTTTAAAGATGTATTACGGAGTAGACTTTCAGTTTCACAGAGACCCTAAAGATAAAACGGGAATTAAAAATTTTTGTATTTGCTAAAGGGCCTCGGGGCCATGCCTCCTAACCCCAGGGTACGAGATTATTCCTCTCTGCTGTTTCAGGTTTTTGGATATTCAAGGTTGAGAGGCACTGGCCCAAATGGTTTTTTTCTTTTTTTTTTTTTTGAGACAAGAGTCTCACTTTGTTGCCC